ATTCTAACAAGACATAAAAACCCAACACACGCCACACAGACTTTACAACATCATCTAACAAAACTAAAGAACTGGTGCAAACTCTGGAAAATTCGACTGAACCAAGACAAATCACAACAGATCACTTTTACTCTTCGACATGGAACATGCCCTCCTATTTACCTCGACAATGCCGAAATTCCTCAAATAGATAAAATACAATATCTTGGACTGACATTCGACAGAAGAATGACATGGGGTCCACATATCAACAAAAAAAGAAAAACTTTAAACCTCAGACCACGACTGTTATACTCACTTCTCTCAAGACGCTCAAAATTAAACCTAAAACAAAAACTGAACACTTACAATTATCTACTTAAGTCCATAGGGACCTACGCTTCACAAATTTACGGAACAGCCAAAACGACCCACATACGAAAACTACAAACTTTTCAGTTTAAAACTTTCAGAACCATAACCAAAGTTCCATGGTACGTCACAAACATTACACTACATAAAGACCTTCAAATGCCAACAGTTAACGATCACATACGGACACACTACAAGCGATTTCACAATAACTTACATGGACATACTAACACCCTTATACAAAGTATTGGTACATTTAAAATGCCCGAAAACACACTTAGGAGGCTCAAAAGGAGTTGGATGAAGGATTTCCTCACTTAAAAATATGCTAAAATCAAGACAGGAATGGATGCCGCTGGGCACTCCTCTCCATCACGCCGATCAAGCCACTACCTGTACACTTACCGCTAACTACTTACAGCAGACCCGCTAATTGTCATTGCTTATGACAGGTGTGGGTGAATAAATAAAGCTTAAAAAAAACAATAAAAAAAAAACCAAATGCTGATTTACAGTGACCGAAAAACTAACTCAAGTTAATGTCGTCAATCCGCCATGTTTGGACAATGCGTTCACTTTTTTGTGGGCTTTGTTCTGCAAATAGCAAACAGTAGCAAATTTGACGTAAAAAGCTGACCAAAAATCCATTTTTCAAAATGGATTATTTCAAAAAAGTTTTGTTTCTAAAAATAGTTTAATCTTTGAGATATAATGATATAAAGCTATAACTGCAGCTGATTCATATCAACTTTCGAAAATTGATGATCGTCGTATCATTTTCAGATATTTTACCCCAAACAATTTAGTAGAATAGATTTTGACACAAGCGAGCTGTAATCATGATGAAGCAAATATACATGTCCAAACTATGATTTTCACTATTTAATGTACAATTTAAAGTAAACTGGGCAGTTACTCAAAGAAAGGATGAGAGGTTTGGAATGGTATAAATAGCCATGTAATAAATGGTTGCACGAAACAATTCAGTTACTTAGTGGTACAACGGCTAATCTAAAACCAGGAACTGGATGGCCAACTAAATCTTTTGAATAATCTAGTAACCAAAGTAAAAGAAAAAACATGAAATAACTGCGGAAATCAGCTAAAACTGAAGAACCTCCATTTGTCAGATATATGAAACTCAGAGCTCCTGGCAAATCAGATACTTCAAAAAAATGTAAAGGATTTCTTTTAATTTCTCCGAAAAGAACTACAAGATATAGTAGAACTTCTGTTACAAGGTCAAACACCATATTGTGTTTTTTGGTGCAAATTTGACAATAAAACAATGGGAAAATTTGCAGAACAAAGTTTGCAGACCCTGAGATTGCCTCTGAAATTACCGGTCGGAACGTTCAGATCATTTACTTATGTTTTAAAGTTATATTAAAAGCAAAGCAATTTGGTTACAAAATTGAAACTGAAAATACTTGTAGGCAGCAAAGCTATGAGCAGAGCAGTGTCAATGGCATCCAATGACTAACAATATACAAAATATATGTATAACTTTCAAACATAAGTAAATAAATAAAATCATAATTGGTAAATGGTTGACTGTCGTGAATAATGAAGAGAAGAATAGTTGGGGTGATCAGTCAAATAAGAAGGCAAAAAATAAATGATACTATTTATTTTGACATTAGCCGACGTTTCGACATGAAGTTCAGGCCATCATCAGGGCTAAGAAAAGAACCAGATAACAAGGAATGAGAAACATAAGAAGTGTAGGTAAAAAAAAATTAAAGTAAAATTCAGTTGTTAGAATAATGACAATAGTAAAAACAAAGAGATAAATGATAATAAGTTTGATATTGGTAGCATGAAATTGGGGATCAGAGAGAGAGAGAGAGAGACTACGGTGGATGAGATTTTTAGCAACGTTAATTTTCTGGTGGTAGGGATGTTCAGAATGGTAATTTAGAAGTCTGCCAGTGTAAGTTGGTTTAGTGTACCAGTCTGTGGATATGGTGTTGTTGGGAATTTTAATGATTAGAAGGTCGAGAAAAGGGAAAATGTATAGATTTATTTATAATCTATAAATTATTTATTTATAATTTATTTATTATAATTTTTTTGTTTATATTAAACTATTTTATTGCCTCTTTCTATCAACTTTCGTTTAATTATCCATAATATTTTTGAGTAATATATCTTTCGTCCTTATTTACGCTTCCGTTACTTTAGTTCAAATTTCGTTAGATAGCCGCTGGAGATGACGCCACTATACATCCCTTCTCTCCACCTCCATCCTGACTAACACGCTCACTGCTTAGATGACATCTCCGCAATCAGGTGGGTCTTCTTCTTTTTCTTTCTTATTCTCTTTCTTATTTCAGCCTTCTCAGTTTCTTTCCTCCTTCCTTTCATCCCTCTGCTCTGTTTTAACTCTGTATTATATTATATGTTGTCTATACATCTTGATAGACTTTACAACATCTCAATTTTCTATCTAACTATTCTATTCACAATATCTCAATTTTACTGTTTATTTCCATTTCTTATATAACTTCATATTTTTCTGTTTTTACATTTTATTCTAAGATTCCCATTTTAATACTTATGTCACCTTTTTCTTTTTCTATTGTGTTTACTTCATCATTCCGCACTTTGTACCGCTTATTATCATTTATCTCGTTGTTTTTACTATTGTCATTATTCTAACAACTGAATTTTACTTTAATTTTTTTTTACCTACACTTCTTATGTTTCTCATACCTTGTCATCTGGTTCTTTTCTTAGCCCTGATGATGGCCTGAACTTCAGGTCCAAACGTCGGCTAATGTCAAAATAAATAGTATCATTTATTTTTGCCTTCTTATTTGACTGATCACCCCAACTATTCTTCTCTTCATTAAATAAATAAAAATTTGATACGCGAGTAAGCAATCTTCATATCGATAGTATTTTCTTTAAAATGCACCTCTGATAGAACAATTGGTACAATAGTGTACCCTTACATCGAAAAAGTTACTCGATACTTTTTTTCTCCCTTTCCTCGCCTTAGATTATACGAGCTTTTCTCCCGAACTTGGGATGAAGACGGTTTTGGAAGCCAGAATTAAAAGTCCCCCGGCACCGAGTTTGACCTCATAAACTTTGGTTTATCACAGGTTGCACACGCGTTAGTCGGATCGGTAATCCCGCCCTCCGAATTTCTCAACTAATGTTAATAACAAGATACGCGATTGTGCAATATTAACATCGATAGCGTTTTCATAAAAAGCAGCTCCGATATATAAATGGCCCCTCCTGTTTTTAGAGTAAGGTTCACCGGAGCCATGGTTCCCACGAGAAAGTCTCTCATGACCTTTAGAGGTTAGTTATTTTAAGTTAAGATATTGCTATTTGTTGTAGTCCACTACAACCTGAAAATCTGTAGTAATGAAAACGGAGGAGACTAGTTCTGAGATCTCTTAGGTATCTTGAATAATAAAGAAAGAATTATTTTTTATTTATTTATTTTTGACATATTCTGCCATTTGTAACTGTGCTTTTTTTTTTTTTTTGTCCACCCCTTCCTCGCCGTTAAGGCTATTGCAGGGTTTTCCCGGGCCAGGGGATGTGGGCGGAGATTTAAAAGAATCCCTCGGCACCGAGACATATATCAGGAGATATATCCGGTTGCCGGGCAACGGCGGTGCTGTGCACACGCGTTAGCCCATTTGTCCAACCCACCCATTACTGTATAGTTGTGAGTTTTCTTGACTAGCTTCATTTTGTATTTATTGTAGTAGGTCCCTCGGCCATTTTCTTTTTAATATACCTCGATACGGTAACAGGGAGCAGGAAATAGAAAGGACTAATGGATTAAAGTGATTTAGAACTGAAGAGTGAAATGAAGTGTGTTTGCCGTGGATGTAGGATTTTACTGTTGGAATGTTCAAGTCGTTATGTATAGTGTTAATTGAAATGTACCAAGGTGCGTTGACAATTTTTCGTAGAATTTTTTATTGTAATGTTTGTATTTTGTGTATGTGTGTTTGTTTTGCCGAGCCCCAAAGTTCTGCTCCATATGTCCAAATTGGTCTCAGTATGATGTTGTAGATTAGAACAAATTTATTGATAAAATAAACACGTCTAAATGACTTGTTTGCCTTTTATTATCTGCCGCCCGAGAAAAGTGCCCGCTTGTCCTCCCCTCCTCGCCCCACCTATTTTCAGTCCTGTTTTTCTCACTTACTAGCGGCTTCTTATACTATATATTTTATTATTATTATATAATTTTATATTCTTCCTGAATATATTTATGTGAGGGGAGGAGGGGCGAGGAGGGGAGGACAAGCGGGCACTTTTCTCGGGCGGCAGATAATAAAAGGCAAACAAGTCATTTAGACGTGTTTATTTTATCAATAAATTTGTTCTAATCTACAACACCATACTGAGACCAATTTGGACATACGGAGCAGAACTTTGGGGCTCGGCAAAACAAACACACATACACATGACTATCAAAACGGACCAGGCGAATAAACAGTAAATTTTAGCTAAAACTTATAAGCAGTGATGTAGCAAAAAAAAAAAAAAACAATTATGCTTAAGTTAAAGTTGTAAAAGATAGAATCTATTTTTGGTTTACTTTCAAATGGATTTTTCATTTATTTTTAAATAGATAACTTACATCTAATGAAGCATATGTTTAAATAACTTACCCATTATGTGACTCCACACATATTCCATATATGCAAGGATTGGTAATACATGATAAAGACGTGAATGAAGATGACAAGGTGAGTAGCGTAGGCAATACAAACCATAGAGTCGCCCGGTACCACATCTTATGAAACTAGCATATCCCATCTCGGATCATTGCTTAGGTCCTGAAATTGCAAAAGTCTAAATGAAATTTAAATAATTGGAAATTTAATTAACAACACACAATTGAATGACCAAATATTACAATTACTGATATTCCAACACGGAAATCATCAATTATATCAATGATTTGTTCTTTTAAATAGCTCAACTTTGGATGAAAAAACATCTGAAAAAGATAAAGGAAAATTATCCCCGCCCCATTAGCGTTACGAGGTATTTTTAATTATTTGCAATGTACTTCGTTCCCATGCCCCCTCTATCTTCCTTTTATACGTTTAACGTTTTAATATAATAAACAAATTAGTGTCTTAGTTTAAAAAAAAAAATCATCACATAAATACGAACTATGAAGTCAAGGAGGGATGCCCAGAAGGGGGTTTCATTTCGCAAGTTGCACCATCAAAATTTATGAGGGGGGCACTTTTGATGGGGGTTTCAAGCTTTGAGGGGGGTACATTTCGTCGAGTTATGATTTTACAAATTGAAAAGTTACAAATTTAAAGACAAGTGAGAGCATGGAAGAGACCGCAGTATGTGTAATTGTAGATGTGGGCGGGGTAGCCGAATGGGCTAAAGCGTGTGCACTGCACCGCCGTTGCCTGGCAACCTGACATATGAATTAAAGATATAAAAATAGTCACGAGTTCGCGTCCCGGTGCCGGGGGAGTCTTTTAAATCCCCGCCCACACCCCCTGGCACGGGAAAATCCCGTATAGCCTTAACGGCGAGGAAGGGAAGGACCAAAAAAAAAAAAAAAAAAAAAAAAAATGTGTAATTGTAGATAATCTATGAATATTTAAATTCTACTTTCGTTTCCACTGTTATTAAGAAGAAAAGAGGAATAACATATTTTGAGAAGGGTAGGGGAAAGTTTATGCGTCATCGCGGGCCTTGGCGGGAGGGATGGGCACTCCTGAAGTCAAGCGTCAAAAATATGAAAACGTTCTTGTTGGAGTTATAAAAAGTTCCCTACAAGCTCTAGACAACTTGACATAAAATAAAGGTATACATAATGTATGTATGTATGTATGTATGTATATATATATATATATATATATATATATATATATATATATATATATATATAATGTATCGTAAGTAAAGGGAAATATTTAAAAAGGTGATAGTACACAAGAGCTACTCAAAATTGTATACAAACCACTGTTCGAATTTCTAAAAAAAAAACAGGAATCTTTTTTGAAACAGGTTTTATGTTTTTTTTTTTAATTTTACTACGTAAACCATGCGTTTTATTGAACAGAAAGCGATGACTAAATGAATATTTAATTTAGATAATTTAAAAATAGCTGCATAGTAAACTAGATAAAATTTCCTTCAAATTTAACCTCTGACTTCCTGTCTAACAGTATCCTTCAATAATACTCCACTTATTCCTGTTGAACAGATCCGATACATATTACTCCATCAGGACAAACGTCAGACCTTGAATCATCATAGAAGACTAATAAAGCTACAAGAAACTGTTAGACGCTTCCGGCCACTTCAACACTTACTAGACAAATGCTCTAAACTCCAATAACCTATAAAATATTCATTTACTTGACTATAATAAAATCTGTTTAGACTTATACAGTTGAGTTTTGGGAGTACATTAAACCATCAAATTCCTCTGCTATCCAATCCTTACAATCCAAAATCCATCGCAAAATCCTCAATGTTCCTTAACTTGTCACAAATAAAGTTATCCATTATGGCTTTAATGTTTTATTTGTTACCTATACTTTCATAATAAACTTCAGGCGCATCCAAACCCACTTGTTTCTAACCTTGCACTCTCTTTGATTTTTGACAATCCTCCCAGGTATCTGAAATGAAAATGGCCTCGGGAGTTTATAATGCATTCATTGTTGGGTAAAGATTTCCTGAAGGATAGTTCCGAGGTACACCGTACATTCTTAACCATCCTTTCCTCCATATCATCAGATATTCAGTGTCCAAATTCTGTAAGTAGCTCTGTATTGGTCCTTCTCCTTGCGTTAGTATTCTGATTCCAGATCGCTGCGGTAATTAACTTCGGAGACAGGATATCATCCATTATGGTTAATCCAATTTTAGGAATTAAGCAGATTGGTATCGAGGTATTTTATTCTTTAATGATAGATTTGAAAAAATACTTAAAAATAAGTATTTGCGTTTTTTGTATTTGCGTTTGCATTTCCTTCCATATTTATCTTGATATTGATACCCACCCATATTTAAGTCCCATGACACCTTACCAATTATTTTTTTTTTTAATATAGCGTGTTATTATCGTGTTTTTTTTTATTTTATTTTTTTTTTTACTCATTGATATTTACAACTGTATTATAAAAATAAAAATACAACTAGTAAATGTGCACTCAGGAATATAATAACCTGAAATCTCTTGTTGAGAAACTACCCACGCATAGCACTCAAATAATAAATTTACACAAGAAGATCACGAGGCCACCTTCTTTTCAGACGCTTCGGAGGATTATGAGGGATCGAGGAGGAAGCAAGATTTGAAACGAGGGGGTTCGGATGGTTCTGCAGTTTGTTATGGAAGGATAGATATCTGGATTGGGCCAAATCGGAAACATATGGAATATTAAGGACTTTATGGATCAATTAATTTGTGACAATGTAAGGAGCGTTGAGTATTTTAGGAGGGATTTTGGATTGTAAGGATTGGATACGAGAGGAATTCGATGGTTTAGGGGAGCCCCAAAGCTCAATTCCGTAAGTCCAAATAGATCTTATTATTGTCATATATATGAGTCGTTTGAATTGATTGAAAGCTTAGAGCGTTTGTCTAGTAAGTGTTGGAGTAGTCGGAAAAGTCGAGCGGTTTCTTGAAGTTTCAGTCTTGTATGAGGATTCCATGTGAGTCGTTTGTCCAGGTGGAGTCCTAGATAACGGATTTGTTCAACTGTGATAAATCTTAGTTTTAATATTAAAAAGCGTTCAACTTATATTTAGAAATATAAATATTTCATTCTTTCATGGGTCACTATAGATTTGTAAACTTGCCTTTTGAACTTTGCCATGGATGATGAATATGACAACAGCACTGATATTTCTCTATTTTATCAGTCCTGGTTTCAAAAAAGAAAAAATGTGATATAGTTGAAGTTTACTTCAGGAATGACCTTACTAATGTCTCTAGTAGTACCAACAATTGTAAATCAACTAAATATATGCAACAGAATGCGCTGCATATCTGCAAAGCAACTTCAGAAGTTCAGCCTGATACTTTAAGCTCCATGTGTACTTCATTCGATCAACGCCTCTCGAAACTCAAATCTAAAAGATATGATTTCTCTCAATTTATGAAATCCTTAATCCTGTCTTCGTTTTGTAGTAAACTATGGGCGCTCACCGTCGATTCTACACTTACCTATTTCCTTTTCTGGATTCAATCAGACAAACTTTAAAAGTCAATTTCAATCGTCAGATCTTTAACCAGTACAGATCACGCGATCATCACCACTCTTTACAATTCCTTATTCAAAATATTGAGTATACAATAGTCTAGTAAACTAAACGCAATAATAACTCTTCTAATAATTAAGATGAATCTGAGCTATTAGAAAAAGATTCTTGGTTATAAATCTGTATTATTGTTAGTGAGGTATTTGATATTTATTGCTTTACTGATGTTTATATTATCACCAAAACATAAATAAAACATTCACGAAAACTTATTAAGACTTATAGAAAATTTTATAAGCTTCTGGAAAATGAAAGTTACATTTCTAAAATCTTATAAAGCGTTGGTGGATGGAGCCTGGTGTTTGTAGCTGGTCTCAAAAAGTATTTTATTTCATGGCGTAATAATAATAAAGAATACGTAATATCTCGTTCGTATCACTTTGGCTGGTTATTAGTCAGCTGCAGAAAACCCTATATAATATGTTACCTATATTACAATCACAAGCGGATCCTGGATTTCATTTTGGGAGGGGGACTTCAGCCCGAAAGCAATTTTTTCAAATATAACCATAATTAATTTGAAAAAAAAAGAAAGAAATTTATTACCTATATGAAATGGTGTTTAAGTAATTCTTGTAGTCCTATTAAATGTAATTACACGAACAATATACTTTAAGAGATAATTATTTAATTAATTTTTTTTCCGTAAAACATGGTTATATTTTACAATTTTTGGGGTAATTGCCCCTCCTCCCTCTCTTTTCGTAGATCCGCTTGTGATTCCAAATGGTACACAAGCATTGATTTTTATATTTTAAGTATAAATTATAAATAAAATGTAACCACATTGTCCTTATTAAAATTCATAAGAGGCTGAAGCCAACAAACAACAACGATTGGTGAGCAAAAATAATTATCATGCCATGCTTTGAGAGAAATGGAGCTTCGACAAGGAAGAAGTCAAATAGAAGCTAATCGATTATTCCTAAAGAGGTGCTTCCCTCACGCCCTTCCGCTGCAAACAAATCTAGAGCTGATGGATTTAATAAACGTTGGGAGAAAAAATAAAAGGAACAATCATTCTAAATGTATAATAATTAATAATTGCCATAACTGTAGACACAGGCGGATCTACGGGGGGCTTTCGGGCTGAAGCCCCCCACAAAATGATAAAATATAACTATGTTTTACAGAAAAAAAATATTAAAAACTATCTCTCAAAGTATTCTCGTTCGTGTAATTACATTTAATAGGACTTCAAGAACCACTTAAACACCATTTCATATAGATAGTTAATTTCTTTCTTTTTTTTCTGATTTTTGATCGCAACTAGCCAAATCAATGTGCTGGGCGGGGTACCCCAAGGCGGCCCCTTGTCGTCGTCGCTCTTCAACCTGGCCATCGATCATCTCTATCGCGACCTGTGCGATGAAGAATTTTCCAAAAAATTTCGATACAAGTTAAAAAGTGACCAAGGTTGTGTGGTCCTCACAGGTTTCGCGGATGACCAGGCCGTGTCAGCGCGTGACAAGGGGGCTGCAGAAA